GGGAACTCTTCAGTGAGCTAACACATAGAAAGGAAACTTACAAGGAATGGAAACTTGGACAAATGACTAGGGTGACTAAGAGAATTGCTCAAGCATGCAGGGATGAAATCAGGAAGGCCAAATCGCAACTGCAGGTGCAGCTCACAAGGGATGTGAAGGGTAACAAGAAGGGTTTCTACAAGTATGTTACTAACAAGAAAAAGATCAGGGGAAGTGTGGGTCCCTCACTGAATGACAGAGGCAACTAGTGACAGAGGATGCAAAAAAGGCTGAAATACTCAATGCCTTTTTTACCTCAGTCTTAGGCAGGGTCAGCTCCCAGACCACCTGGCAGCACAGTTCGGGGAGGAGGTGAGCAGCCGATAGTAGCAAAAGAACGTTAGGGGCTATTTAGAAAATTTGGATCTGTATAAAGTCCAAGTCTATGTGTATAGAGGCCAGACATGATGCACCCAAGGGTGGTGGGAAGTTGGCTGATGTGATTGTAAAGCTGTTGGCCTTTATCTTTGAAAACTCATGGTGATTGTGAGAGGCCCTGGTTGATTGGAAAAGGCCAAATATAGTGCCTGTCTTTAAGAAAGGGAAGAAAGAGAATCCAGGGAACTATAGACTGGTCAGCGTCACCTCAGTCCTTGGAGAAATCATGGAGCAAAACCTCAAGGAATCCATTTCTAAGCACTTGCAGGAGAAGAAGATGATTAGGAGCAGTCAACATGGATTCATCAAGGGCAAGTCATGCCTTATCAACCTGATTGCCTTCTATGATGAAATGACTGGCTCTGTGGGTGCAGGGAGAGAAGTGGAGATGATCTACCTTGACTTTATCAGGCTTTTGAAATGGTTTCCCATAACATTCTTGCAATCAAGCTAAGAATGTATGGGTTGGATGAATGGACTGTGAGGTGGATAAAAATTGGCTGGATCATAGGACTCAAAGGGTAGTAATCAGTGGCTCAGCATCTAGTTGGTATCTAGCCAGTATCAATGGGAGCGCCCCAGGGGTCAGTTCTGGGACTGGTTTTGTTCAATATCTTCATCGGCAACCTGGAAAATGGGATGGATTGCACCTGCGAGTTTGCAGGTGACATCAAGCTGTGGGTATAGTAGAAATGCTGGAGGGTAGGGCTAGGATTCTGAGATACCCAGACAAATTGGAGGATTGGACCAAAAGAAATTTAATGAGGTTCAATAAGGACAAGTGCAAAATCCTATACTTAGGATGGAACAATCCCACTCACTGGCATGGGCTGGAGACCGACTGGCTTAGCAGCAGCTCTACAGAAAAGGACCTGAGGTTTTCAGTGGACAAGAAGCTAAATATGAGCCAGCAGTGTGGCCTTGTTGCCAAGAAGACTAATAGCATACTGGGCTGCATTAGTAGTAGTGCTATCAGCAGGTAAAGGGAAGTGAGTATTTCCCTCTATTCAGCACTTGTGAGGCCATGTCTGGGGTACGATGTCCAGTTTTGGGGCCCCCACTACAGAAAGGCTGTAGACAAATTGGAGAGAGTCCAGTGTAGGGCAACAGAAATGGTTAGGGGCTGGGGCATATTACTTATGAGGAGAGGCTGAGGGAACAGGGCTTATTTAATCTGGAGAAGAGAGAAAATTTAATAGCAGCCTTCAACTACCTGAAGGGGGTGTTCAGAAGATGATGGAGCTAGACTGTTCTCAGTGGTGGCAGATGACAAAAAAGGGAGCAGTGGTCTCAAGTTTCAACAAGCGATGCTTAGGTTAGATATTAGGAAAAACTTTCTCAGTAGGAGGGTAGTCAAGCACTGGAACAGGTCACCCAGAGAAGTTGTAGAATCTCCATCCTTGAAGGTTTTGAAGACCCAGCTAGACAAAGCCTTGGCTGAGGTGCTACAGTTGGGGATAGTCCTGCTTTTAGCAGAGGTTTAAACTAGTTGATCTCCTGAGGTCCCTTTGAACCCTAATTTTCTACAATTCTATGATTCATGTTAAGAAGAGAAGAGACAGAAGACAATTGAAAACTCCCACAGTGTCACCCACCTCTGGGACTCACAAAATATGGGTGCAGGCACTCCCACCCACTACTAAGCTACTGTGAAGCAGACTTAGATGGGTGCTCTCATGCCCTTCTATTAGAGCCTCAGCACTTCATACAGTTGTGAACTGGTTCCCAATCAGTGACCTGGTTCAGTTGTCCTGCATGTCTGTGCACTTTGGTATATGCAGCTAAGGGCTTGCCTACAGCAGCAGATCCAGGAGTAGAGTAAGAGGGGTGTAGCTATGCTCCACTTTGGCTATGCTGTGTGTACACAGTGAGCTCTATGCTTACCATCTTCTCGGCCTGGACTCCAGAGCTCCACATGTGATGTAATCTCTGTTAGCTCACCAGATGATCAGCATGATCTCTGACCAGAACCACAGCTTTCATGCAGTTCCAGAGCTCAAGAGCCACTGTTCAGCCCCTCTTTTTCCTTAGCTTCTGAATTCAACTGGGGGTGGGAAAGGAAGCAGACAGCAGCAATGCTCACCCCCTGGGCTCTGGAGCTTCAAAAAGCAGTGGCTCTGGCCAGGGCTTATGCCAATGGGAACCTGCACTGCACAGATGATAAGCTCTGAGCTCACTGCACATGCACAGCATGACCACACTGCCACCCTCCCCACAACCTTCCTATGGATCTGCCCTTTCCTTCTTCCACAGAGGCACTCACTATTAATAAGAAAGAATATCCACACTAAGAGTCACACACACATATTAATGTGAAACAATACATTCTGAAACGTATTGCTCCAGAGTTTATTGCTCTGGGAGTGCCATTTGCACATGCTCCTGGGACTGCAGCACATTGAGTCAGGTTAGAGCAGCCCCAGCTGGCAGCAGGCCCCAGGGGTCAGCCTGCCAGACTGGGGCTGCATCCTCTGGCTCAACATGCTGCAGAGGGGTGGGCTGGCAGCAAGGCAACCCCTGCACTAAAGCACCCTCCTGTCCCAGCCAGCCCTGTCAGCATCTATTTGTGCACTGCAGTGGAGAAAAATACTCTGCAGCAGGACAGTACTTGTATTTACTTGTATTTACAAGTACTGTCCTGCTGCAGAGTAAATTAGTTTACTCTGGCTCAACAGGGGCGCACGTATAGATGTGCAACATTTAGTGTGCAACAGTTGGTCTACTGCACAATAAAGATTTTGTATAGGCATGCCCAGGATGAAATAACTCCTGCTCTTTAGATTCACGTTCTAGCTTTTTCAATATCTTCTCAGTATAGACAAACCTTAAGCAACTTTCAAATGTACATACTTTTATGAAAATTGATGGCAAGTATTCAAAAATTATAATCTAGTACTCCCTTATTTTTAAAATATACCTAATCTGAATTGAAGATAAGTTGTTTCTTTTCTTTCTAGTATATTTTTCTTTAAATGTGAGATGTTCTAAATATATTTTAAATGCCACATGAATTATGAAGGTCTGTGTGTGTTCAGAGCAATAGATCTTAAAGGCATTCATTAGACTCCTACGTAGAAATATATCGCATTTCATAAAATAGTTAGGAACCTAAACCTATTTGTCACTTCTACAATTCTAAAAGTTGGTTTCTAGTACCATTATGAACAGCTCAGGAAGAGGGTATACTTTGAAGTACAACTATGATTGATTAGACTAAAGAAATTCCAGTGCTTCGTTGTGTACCACTTTAATCTTTTGAAAAGTGAATGAACAGCAGATGGCCTAATAAAGACACTCTGTACGTTTGCCCAGTATGGATTTGCTCTGAAGGAATTGGTTCAACACTTTAGAGTACATATATTTGGAATACATCTGTCTTAGTCAAGACAGATGGTTAAAGGAAAGAGAAACTTCCAAACACTTGGAATTAGTCCAGTTTGGGCACTATTTTTGAATGAAATTTTAATAGAATATGACTATCGTTCTGTGAGCTTTCTCAAAAGAATACAGCTGCTAGTAGTGTAGATTGCTACTGTGTTGGGTTGTTTCTGTGTGTGTTTAAAAAGCAAATATTGCCACCACTTCTCTAATTAGTGTGATGATAAATAAGTGAATTCATTTTCCAAGACTGTCAATCTAGAAGTTTTCACCACTGCTAAATTCACTCTAAAAACTCAAGCTTAAATGAAAACATATAATGCAAAATCAAATGCCTAATAAAAGTTGTGGATATGAAGCTTTAAAGTAGATATTTTTCAATGCTATGTAATATTATACATTAGATTACACACTTTAAGTAGCAGTTTTTAACACACCAAAGTTTCAGTTAGCGAAATCTTCGTGGCTTATAGATCAAAGATTGTGAATTATATGCACCTAAAATGTATGCAGAAATGTATAAAAAAAACCTTTAAAAGTGCTGCATGCTAATCCTAGGAGAAAATGTTCCATACAACATAGACTACTTAAGGGCCTGCTGCATGTTTTCTGTTCATGTATTAAAATGTATTCATTTAAAGCACCTATACACCTGGAGCAAGGCTGCTCTGATGTGCTATAATTACAGACTTGATTAATCGAGTCTGCTGGAGCGTGGTAATTACTGCACTCCAGCAGACTCCAGTATCATGTGTATCAGTGACCCCATGCTGAAAAATAGGAGCGGGGATTCTTTAACTAAATCTTGTTGAATGAACTTTAGTTAAAGTGCCCCTGCTGCCATTTTTCAGCATGGGGACACTGATACATGTGAGGCTAGAGTCTGCTGGAGTGCAATAATTACCATGCTGGAATCTGCTGGAGCATGGTAATTTCAGATGAGTTTTAGTTAAAGCACCCTCACCACCATTTTTCAGCATAGGAATGCTGATAAACGTGATGCTCCAGGCACTTTAAAGTGTCCCGCCCACCCCTCCCAGATCACATACATAAACACCCTTAAATGTTGAAAAATTATCCCCTTTTAGCTAGATATTCTATTAATTAATGTAAAAAAAACTAGTATGCATAATCTTTGCAATTTGTTTTGTATGTTAAATTTCTTTTGGTTTAAAAGTGTTGTACTTTTGTTTTTTGTTTTACAGTAATAACGAGTAGTGGCTACAGTCCAAGATCAGCACATCAGTACTCACCGCAGATATATCCCTCAAAGTTAGTGGCTACACCTTTATTAGCTTTTCTTACTGAATGACCAAGACTTTAGACAATTCTGTTGTTAGAATTTTAGATCTTAATACTCAATCTGTTGATCAGTATCTACTTTGAAAATAACTTAAGGGTTGATGCTGCTCTCCATTAGTATAATTTCGCTATATTTTTTTCTTGTCAAGATATAAATTTTTGCAGTGTACAGATACATGGTATTTGTTTCTATACTGGTACAGCCAAATATTCCTAAGCAATAAAAAAGCATGCATCTGTTGCTCCAAAATCACAAGACTGGCTTAAGAAATCAAAAGATTTTTAAAAGAATAGATTTTTAGTTCTTTGTATTTGCCTTCTATTTTTTTTTTAATCTTAGGCATCATATTCTCTAGCTCTTTTATTATGATTATTTTGCAGTCACAAGGGCTAGAAAGTTGACTTTTTATTTTATTATACATGAATGCCGACATTCTCATTTAATTACATAACTCCAAGAGCAAAAAGTTGTTAAAAAACACAAAGACAATAGATAAAATTGCTAGGGATGGCACAGGGGTAATGCATACATGTGGCATTGCCAGTTTTGTGCATACATGTGCATTACAGCAGTACGCACTTGTTCCTGCATAGATGACAGTGCTAATTAACTTGAAAAAATTGGTTTATGCTTCTACAATGAAAATCTTGAAACTTTAGCAAGTTGTACCTTCTAAAGTTACTTTGTTTTGGTAAGTTTGCATTCATGTTACGATATAACATATTTAAGAATATAAACAAGTGTCTGAATTAAATGTGGTCTTTCTTATGTCTTTGACAATGGGATTTGGCCTTCAGTATATCAGATTCTTGGCCATATATATTACAAGGTCTAGCTGAATTTTTAATTTGCTGTAATAATTTATTGGCATCTAAATTAATGTGCAATCTTTTTCTGATAGCAATTGCTGCCAACTGTACTGAACTAACTAGAAAAACAAAAGCAAAATAAATCAGCATCTAATGCTTAGTCATGGCTTTTAATGGCCAAATTTCAGTTTGGTTAATTCTGCAGTGTGTTTATTCAACTTTTGGTCCATAAAATGTTGTTTGACTTATTAAAGAATACAAGACAAATGTTTCACTGTATGTTTTTCAACTCTGGAGGGCAACATTTCAAACTTGATTTTATTCACTCTCCACATAAAATTTTAGTACTTATAAACAAACGATCACATTTATTTCCATTCTGTTTTGTTTAGCCTATATTTTCCAAATTGTGAAAGCCCACCTGAATAGTAAAGTATCACTAGAGACATTTTTAATGCTACTTAATATGGACATGATCCATCTCCCATTGAAGTCAAAAGACCAGATCATCAGTTGTAGTTGAGCAAACATTGCTTGCACATAGCACATACACATGGTAAAAGTGTCTATAAACTTAAAGTTGACCTTGGAACTCCACTTTCCTGCGATTGCTGGTATCTGCAAGGCCAGTTCCCTTTCACTCAGTTAGAACAGCCTGAGGGCTTTTCAGGGTTACATCTGCGGTTAAGGGTTCAACACCAAATAGAGTTATGGGATGGTCCACTTATAGCTCCATACTGTAATTTTAAGGCTAGATTGTACTGGTGAAACAGCACAAAAAATCCACTCTGTGCCAGGGAATAGAAACCATAGAGTCTTCCATTTACTTTAGTGGGGGATGGACTGGGTTTCCACAAGAGTAGTTTTTGGCAGAATAAACTGTTTTTTGACTTCTTGAAGCCTTTTTTATTTTTATTGCTTGAATCAAAATGCCAAGTATTTGTTGCCACAGTAATGCTATTTTTCCTGATATTTAGGCCCTATCCACACATTCTTTCTACACCAGCAGCACAAACTATGTCAGCCTATGCTGGACAGACCCAGTATTCAGGAATGCAACAGCCAGCAGTCTATACAGCCTACTCACAGACAGGACAGCCTTACAGTTTACCTACTTACGGTATTTGACTTTTTGTTCTTATTCCTCCATAGTTAGCACTAACATCAATTGCCAATTTGATTTTTTTTTTTACTTTTCTCCCCAACTGTAAGAAAATATTTTAAAGAATCAGTTGAAAATTAATTTCTTACGCAGATTTGGGTGTAATGTTGCCAGGCATCAAGACGGAAAGCGGGCTTTCACAAACACAGTCACCACTGCAGAGTGGGTGCCTCAGTTACAGTCCAGGATTTTCCACCCCGCAACCAGGCCAAACACCGTATTCTTATCAAATGCCAGGTCAGTAACCATTGCCATCATGTTTTTCATTTCAATGGGACTGTTCATCGAGTGAGGTGCACTTCAGTATGAGTAAGACTATCTGAAATAGGTCTTTTAGGTACAGGAATGTTTTGGCCCCCCAAAAATATAGATCGCTGCCTAGTGGGATTTTTAGAAGTACCAGAATAGGTTAGGTACCTAAATCCCATGGAGTTCAATAACAATTAGACACCTCATTTACTTACATGCTTTTGAAAATCCCACTAAACACACACGTGCATTCTTAAGCACCTAAATAACATTGGAAATTTCCCTTTTTATAATTGCTTAATCAAAAAAATGCTTAGAACGTGTCTGAATGGTAGACTAGCAAATGAAGTCACATGATGTCAGTCCTCATACAAATTTGAGCAACAGATTTGGAAATCCATGATGACAACATCTCAATCATACCTTTAACCGTGAAATGCTTGCTGTTGAAGTCAAGAGAGCCTGCCTTTGATTTCATCAACAAAAGGATTTCACCCTCAATTTGCATTTGTTAATTAAAAAGAGAGGTAAAAAGAAAAGAAAAACAGCAGCAATGTATAAGTTGTACTAGTAGACTCCCTACCAAAATGGGAGATATTATTATTTTTATAAAAATTATTATTATAACATTACTTCTTTCTTTTTTCTGTGTTATACATTTATGAAAATTCCACCATTTGACACTTGTTTTCTTTGGGCTTCTACTAAATTATTGTAATTTTTTTCTTAATATATCATTATTGTATTTATTTTTCACTCTTTTGTTTTAACATATACAGTTTTATTTGGAGTTTATCTTTGTTATTTTTTAGCTTCCAATGTATTTTTATCTTCATATAATATAAAGTAAAATAATATAAAGTATTCTTTAATTGCAGCGTGGGTTATCCAGAATATGAGGATAAGCATGGATTGTGCAGTATGATCTATTAAAATACCTGTATCATTAAAATCTTTAAGCAAAAATTTATTTTGGCTGAGACTTTATGGTTGCAAGAGAACACAAACTCAGCTACATGAATGAAGTGCAAGAAGGGAGTGATAAAAATAAATTTATGTAGGAATGTCTGAGATATTGTAGCAAATGTGAAAAGTTTCTTTTTTGATCAGCAAAATCAAGCTTTTTTATACAATACAAAAAGGAAAAAATAAATATGGCATGTGTTCTAGTTCTGTTAAATATTATAACATTTTATATTCTAAAATGAGATTCTGAGGTCTTTGTGCTTCTGATTTATCTGTGGTTTAATGTGAAATATGTTATTTAGACTGTTGTTACCATCCACAAATAAATAACTTCTTGTAATGAATTCTGTTTTTAAACTTTAGGTTCTAGCTTTACACCATCATCTACTATTTATGCAAACAATTCAGTCTCAAATTCTACAAACTTCAGTAGTTCACAACAGGTATGAATATAAATATTTTTACATGAAATACAAAATAATCATATTTTAAAGAAATCAGATACTTGCATAATAACTATAAATTTCACCTATTAACATTGAAATAAAACTGTTATGAATGCACATTTGGAATGGACAATTGTAAAAATCCCAGTTTCCCATTTTTTTGGACATTTGGTCTTTTCCCATTTTTTTGGACACTTAAATATGTTTTAAAATCTGGCTGTTAATTTTAATGATTCTTAAAAAGAAATCAACAGTAGTCTTGATTACGAAAATTAAACTTTGATTGCACAGACATAAACGTAAAAGAGGACTCACTGATTGTTTCACTTTATTAATTTCCTTTACTATTCCAGGAGTATCCATCTTACACCACTTTTGGCCAAAACCAATATGCACAGTATTATTCAGCATCAACCTATGGAGCATATATGACCTCAAACAATACCGCTGATGGCACTTCTTCATCATCATCCACCTATCAGTTGCAGGAGGCTCTCCCTGGCCTGACTAGTCAACCAGGTACAGACCTACATTCAGGTGAAACATTTTTGTGTATTTTATCCAATCTGTTTAGAGGTGTAAAGATTAGAAATTAATAATCCAACATAGAAAAAATTTAACTGATTTGAAATAATCAGAGATATTTATATTTTATGGAAAAAGTTAAGAAGGTATTTTAAAAGGAAAAAAATAATTTTGTATATCTAGGTTAGATGTTATTTTGGCAAACTGATTGAGACATCTATGTTGTGAGGAGCAAAGAGCAAAGCTATGCAATCATGGATAGATCTTTGCTTACCCAGAACTACTGTGTTAGGGCAAGTAAAGCAACCTCAGCCCAACTCTCAACAAACACTTAATACCAGAATATGGCGAGATCTTATATTACTGAGACTGGAGTACTGGAGTATATTTACTAGTCTCTTGTATTAAATGTTATAATAAATCATTAAAACCAAACTACATTTATTTGTTTATTTAGTCCCCAATCTAGAAAGGCACTGTGAAGCTCTTAGCTATAACATATACCTTACCTTCTAATTCTCAAAATTTAATTTTTACAGTAGAGCCCTCTGATATTAATATAAATAAATCTGTAAAATTATTTTAAAATAGTCACAATTTCAATAAGAAGCTCTCAGAGGTTAGGAAAAGGCAGTTCCCTTTGCCAGGCCAACTGTGCCCCCTTGTGCCTCTGCTTTACAGTACAGTATTTTATTACCTTGTCACATACAGTTTCTATGAGACCTCACCTCATCCAGTGCATGAAATTAGCATTCTTCTGTGAGTGAGGCAGTGTTCAGTTTTTCTTTTTATCCTAATCATTTAGCTTGTAGCCCCATGACAGTATACCTTCCAAATACTTCTGTTAATAAGGATTTCTTTTCCTTTCGGATAGTGTGGTGTCCATTACATTAGTTGCCTCATAAAGGTTAATGATTTTATCTTTGCAACATCCCTGTGAAGTCAAGTAGTAGTACCCTCATTTTACGTATGTGGGACAGAGATAAAGAGAGATTAAGTGGCTTACCCTTAAGCCACATAACTCTGTAGGAGAGAAAAAAGAGCCTGGCAAGTTACAGTCCAGAAGCTCAGGAACACTGTTTCTCTTCCAGGAAATTTTGCTTCATTCATGATAAACAATGCAGTATCTGTAATGAGTCTCTGTTCCATAATCTAGTCTCTGTTCCATAATCTATGGAAAGCTGTGGAAAGATTGACTGATTTCAGTAAGTTTTTGAGCAAACTGGGTGCATCTACATGAGACACTGACCATGTAGTAGCTCATTACTACTGTGTAGTAGCCTTGAATGGCAGGTAGCATGATGTGACGCTACTGTGCAGTAGTAACAAGCTACTACACAATCAGCATCACCTAAAAACCATTCAGCAATGCTACTATGCAGTAACTCTGGTTACTGTGCAGTCATTTGGTACTTGTTTATACAAGTACTAAATGACTACACAGTAACAACTGCGCAATCAGGGTCTCATGTAGATGCAGCCTCTGTGAAAGAGAAATAGGTGCATTGGACCGAAACCTCTCTTTATTCTCTTTGCAGTAAGTGAACTGAATGAAATACGAGTACTGTAAAAATATAATAATGAATATGCTCACAGAGGAGTTACAATTATATACAAATTATGGGCAGCACTGGTAATACCGTTTATAATTGAGAGTCCCCATGCTTCCCATTACAAAAACTGCATGTGTGGAAGTGGGTATTTTTTCTCTCTCTTGGACCTTGAAAATAGTTGAACAGCTTTGACTAAAGCTTAAGTAATGTTAACCACTGGATTCAGCAAAAAACTGACAGAATTTAAGACAAAAAGTAAAATGTCAATAAGTTATACTCAGGTAAAACTGGAATACTTGTGGAAAATTGACTATACTCATTGTTCCACATTATATCTTAAAATATTTTACTGTATGTTGAAAAATGTAATGAATATTATTTAAATTATGTTAGACTGTTTATGTTCCAATGTATGTTTCCATAACCTTTTGAACTTCCTGAGGGAACTTGACAGTATTTTTTTCAGTTGGTAGGTTTGCACTTTATTTCATCCTATTGCTGAAATTATTAGAAGTGATCTATTGGTATAGTGCATTTACAAGCTCTCTTGCTGTGGTGTTTTACAAACTGAATACAATGTGAAGATCTTTATATGACCTAAACAAAATGATAAAAAGCATGTATGCAAGGAACAGTAAGAAGGATGTATATGTTTTAAATGGGTTTTTTTAATGTATAAATATATGAACGTGTCTTTTAAGTACCCTGTGCAACTGGACTTGTAAATCTGTTCACACCCCCCCAATTCTGTGAAGTGTTGAATTGATCATGCGACACTGTGTGCACAGTGCAACACCCACTTTACAAATACACTGCATGCCTGTGTCCTTGTGTGTCACTTTAAAAATATATTTGCTTAAGTAAAGTGCAACGTTTTGAATGTTTAGCCCTTAGTTTGGAACATGGTGAACACTTCTGATATAGTAGGTCACATCTGAACATTGCAGCCTAGATCATGTTCTACTTGCTATCCAAACAGAGCCTCATTGGCTGGTGAACCATGAGCTAGCCATTTAAAGTCTGAGATAGAAGGCAATCAGGTGCTTCCCTCTTCATTCCTCTCTGGTATGCAAATCGTGTGCCTGATGATATTCCAAATAGCTAGCAGGGTCTCCTTTTATTAACCTGGGGTGAGAGTACTTTTCCTTTACTGAAGGTAGAAAATCCTTTAACACATACAAATAATCATGACCCTCAGCCCAACAGTCAAATCTCAATTTTAATTGTATTTATTAAATCAAGAAAGAAGTCAACCAGATAAAAACTTAAAACAAACATTTTCTCTTCCTACTAACTGTACAAACGATAAGAAATTGCAGTCAGAAAATGACTTGCAGTGTTAAAGAATGCCTAGTTATGTTCTTGCATGCCGTTAGTCAGATCTCAAGTCACAGTTTCTTTCTTGGCGCTAAAAGCACTCCTTATTCTTCTTGTACCTGTCGGTGTGCTATTGGAGGGCTAGGTAGGTCTGAAACTACAATCTAAAGCTACCTAACCCGGGAAACATCTGAAACTCACTGAGTCTTCTCCAGTCTGAAATTTCCTTAGGTGACTGCTATTCAGTTCTGGGCAAGCCCAGAATTGCTTGAATTTAGCAACTTGTGCCTAGCTCATGCCTAAATCCTATTGGCATAGAAAAACTAGACAAAGTAGCAGCTAAGCTGCTTGAGGGGTCTAATCCAGAAGGTGTGCACCAACATGATTGGTTCCCTCTAAAAACAGAAGTTTGCTGTTGAGTCCAGGGGGTTGGGGAATCCAGCTGCTGGCTGCAAGCCTGCAGCTGGTCTCCCCTAGCAATGCTCCTCTTCCCCCTCCCAGCCCAACCACTGTTTTCAGAATGGGAGGATGGAAAGGGAGTGGAGAGAGTTAATTCTTGGGGTTTTCCAATCGACATTGGAGGGTCATGCGGGGGGGGGGGAGGCTCCAATCCACCCACCCCACCTTCCAGTGCCAGGTAAAAAAACCCCAGACCGAACTTCCTTCTCTCCCTTTCCCCCCTCTCATTCTGAAAACAGCACTGAGGCTGGGAGGAGGCATAGGCACAAGTTACTGAAGATGTTTTGTTTTGGAACATCTTCATCTGAACTCTGGGATTGGGCCCTTTTAAAGCTCTCTGCAGCAGGACACTTCTGTTTAGTAATGGCAGTAGAGCACTTTTGAGGCCAGATAGGGTGGAAATTATCACTTCTGTCTATGCCTTAAGTTCCTTATGTGTAGTTTCCAGGGCATCTCAGGTATCAGTCAGTCTTGTAACCATCTTGCTTCAGAGCCCTTCTCCCTGCTGTGTGCAGGGCCAGACTTCCTGTTCTGGCTCAGGCTCTGGGTTTTTATGCCTCCTAAGCCCTGCTCCTTCTGATCAGGTGACTCCCCAGCCACACACAAGGGTTTCCAATTAGGGACAGATGGCTAGCTTGCAGGGGAGCTTATAACTGCTTCTCTTCCTGCCTTAGCAGGGCTCTTCTCTGCTGTTCTGTTGCTGAGCTGCTAGCCCTGCAACAGGCATGCTTAGTCTATGGCTCCCTGGCTCTCCACTCAAGTACCAGAGACCTCTGGCTTCCTGTTACACCAGGACTCATATTCCCGAGAGAGGGCTACAACTCTTGGTATTACAGGCATTGCCCCTTTACCCCTGTCTTGCTTGCTTCCAAGACTCCAGAACCCATTTCACTTTAAAGATGACTGATTACAAAACAGAAATAATCCTGACACTGCAACTAAAGACTCTTCCCCTTCCCAGGGGAGTGCTATACTCACTGAGCTAGAGTCAGGCTACTTTTTGCTGAAACCCTTTTGGACCCGTGACTCATACACTTTTGGCTGCCCAATGGCCAACCTTCCACAAGGAGGATGGTGAGTGCAACCTTTTCTATAGTTTGGTAGTCAGGGAACTTGGCTACAAAGTGGGAGAAATGGAAATCTCTTTAGGCTGAGGAGGGTCTAAGACCAGATCTCCCTCTTTCTGGATGAGTTATCTAGCCACCAGACTTGCGGAGAAAATGTCAGTATTATACTGTACCTTAGAACTGGGCATTTTGAATTGCAAAGTGCAATAGATTGCAAGTGAACAGAGGCACCTAATGCTCAGCCTAAATAAGGACCGCAAGTGCAGAGCTGGGAGGGGAGGAGAGGAGGGGAACAAGCTGTCTGTTCCCCCCACAGTTCCCCCCACAGTTCTATGCTTGTGGATCTGGGCAGGGAACCCCACCCCCCCAGCAGGAAACTCCCAGCACCAGTTCCATGACCACAGGTCAGTGCTGGGAGACCCTTAGCTTCCAGACTACTGCACCAGGCAGTATAGTTTGGGGAGGAGATGAGCAGCCAACAGTGGCAAAAGAACAGGTTAGGGACTATTTAGAAAAGCTGGACATATACAAGTCCATGATGCCATACAAGATGCAAACCTGAGAGTGCTGAGGAAGTTGGCTGGCCACTAGCCATCATCTTTGAAAACTCATGATG